GGTGATACCCAGATAGCAAATCCAACTTGGTAAAGTACTTAGACCCGCGCAACTCATCCAATAAATCATCAATCACGGGTATTGGAAACTTATCCTTGATAGTTAATGCATTCAATTGCCTGTAATCCACACAGAATCTCCATGAACCATCTTTTTTTAAAACCAGCAATACTGGAGATGCAAAGGGACTGTGACTGGTTTGTATATACTGAGCTTCCATCATCTCCTTCACTAACCTGTCCATTTCATTTTTCTGAGGTATAGAATAACGGTAGGGCCTTAAGTTCACAGGTTGTGCATTTGATTGAAGTGGTATAGTGTGGTCACAAGATCTCGCAGGAGGTAATCCCTTAGGTTTCCCAAACACATCCTTAAACTCATTGACTACCGGTTCCAGGAATTCAGGGACCTTACCTGGATTGGACGCTTCCACAGAAATACTGAAGAGGTGACCCACCAGTGTGTCTTTAGTCTTCCTTAGAAAACTCTGCAAACTCTTACCCGACATTGCCTTGAATTGAGCTATGTCATGCATCCCCTGGAGAACCACTTCCTGCCCCTTCCAATCGAAGAACAATTGCAGATTAATGAAGTCAAATTTTACTGGACTTATTGTCTTCAGCCAGTCCAACCCAAGCACTACATCATTTGTACCCAAACTCAGCATGCGCATATCAAACACAAACTGTTGATCCTGCATCTCCCAACAAAAATCCTTACACACCATGCTACTTAGCAACACTGTCCCATCTGCCAGCTTCACTCTCAGTGGAGTAGTGGCTTGAACCAACTTACATTGCAACTCAATAGCTTTCCTTTCACTGAGAAAAGTATGTGTACTACCTGTGTCAATCAACACAAAAATCTTCTCCTTTCTGACCTTCCCACGCACAATCAATGAATTCGATAAACCACCACTACTTAAAGCCTGCATAGAGACTTCCACCACTTCTGGTTGCTGAGGTTCTTCCCCCAATTCACCCATGTCCTCCTCATCCATCACACTCCAATCTTCAGGAGCTGAAACCTCTTCATCCTCAGCCTGTAATACATTCAATTGTCTTCTAGTATAACACACATGCCCGAAGTAGTACTTATCGCCACATTTATAACAAGCCCCCTTGGCGAAGTTAGGTTTGGGAGCACTGGAAGAAGCCTGAGGAGCCTTATTCCCACTGTTATTGTTACCAGAACGCCCCCCTGAACTCTCCCATCTACGAGCTCCTTAATTCTGACCTGGCCCTTTTGTTGGAGGAGGTGGTCTGGTGAGATTCCCAGAACCATAACCCATTCTCCATTTCTTTCTTCTTGCTTCGTTTGAAGCCTCCTCTAGCTGAGCTAACTGGAAGGCATGAATCAGAGTCTGAGGCTGCCATATTTTAATCACCGGGCGGAGTTCTTCTTCTAACCTGCTCACAAAACTGGAAATGAAATATTGCTCTCCCAGGGCTGGATTGTACCTAACCATATGTGATTTAAGCTCTTCGAACTTCTCCTGATATTCCACTAACGAACCTCGCTTCCTCAGTTTATTGAATTCACCCACAATACCGCCATATTCCCGATCTCCAAACCTATGGCAAAGATCCGCTACAAAGTCTTCCCAGATCCAATTCGGCCTATCGAATTTCCAACCCTCAAACCATATATCCGGACGTCTCTCGAAGTAAATAGACGCCATCCTCACCTTCTTATCGTTGGGAACTTGATAAATGTCAAAACAATTGCTCGCATTTGCGAGTCCAATCTCGAGGATTATCACCCCCAAACATAGGAAAATCCAATCGCGGTAATTGATGCTGAGCGTTACCTCGCTGTGGAACGTGTATCTGGTCCTGCTCGACCTCGCGGACCTGCGGAAAAGGTCCTCGCGGCATCTGGATATGAGGATCTGCCCGCCGAAATCGGGGACTTGGCAATGGCAGTAACCCCCGATCTTCTTGACGAACCAATTGCGCGTTGACCTCGTTGGCGACGAGCACCTCCAGCTGCTGTTATACTACTTCCAGTCGACGAAGTAACTCCTAAACGTTCTGTTGAAGCTGATCGAATTGCGCGAACCGAGTTGATGCGCGGTCCTCCATTCCATCCAAACAAGTCGTGAGAGTCGCAAACTGCTGAGAATGGCCCTCCGAGCGATTCATCAACTCGGTCAGTTGATTCGACTGAGCTCGATTCTGATCTTCCAGAGTGGCAATCTGAGTAGTGACGGCATTTTCCACCTCGAGAGTGCGAGTAGAAAATGAATTGAGACTATCGTCGAGCTGCCTAACAGTAGTCGCCATGGCCAAGACATGCTCTGATACCAATTTGTGACGTTCTGGATCGTGAATTGTCTTGGCTACCGAAGAATTGGGAAAGTAGAAGAGAAGAGTGAGAGAGAGAGATGAGAGAGAGGGAAAGTTTGTTGTATTCTCCAAAATAGCCGTTAGGTTGTTACAGACCGGGATTATATACCCGTTAGCCAATTATCTAGAACAGTCACTATTATTTTCCTATTTACAATTAAGTCTGCCTGTTACATAAGAGCACCAAACAAATTACCAAGGTTGTGCGAGACATCAAAGTTAATGAGAGGAGGAGTGTCGATGTTTCTGTTGGTGCCAGGTATGACCTGATGGTCGAACGCCTCGATGATATATTTTTTCGCAATTAAGTAGCTAAACTCAAGTGATGGTAGGCGATAGTTACGCCCAATTTTTGGGCTTCATATTCGAAAAAATAGCTACCCAATTAGAAAGCGATGATGAATGATGGTGGGTTTCCTGGGCTTTCAAGGCTTTCAAATATGAAACATCGCTCCACGACGAAGAATATTGGATTATTCTAGCGATAAAGATGCACACACGAAATGATGCAGTAAACACTAATACATCACCTCGTTGGAACTTCTTGGGAAGTTGAGATTGATCCTCAGCATATATTATCACAACACTATTACGAAGAAAAATAAGAAGACGTAGAAGAAGGAGACCAGATGCAGCTGTGATTCATCATCATCGACCCACCATGTCCTCCATATTTTTCTGTTGGGTTGGTCCAACTCATATGGTGGTTGGATTAACCGGTTTGAGTTTGAGTTTTTGGTTGGTTTCTAGAAGATCCTCTATTTTCAAAATACAGAGTTATTGTCTACTTAAAAAGTAAAAAGTGGTGACAGCCTTTCATCTTCCTAGAGAGAGAGAGAATCAGAAAAGAGAAGAGATAAGGAAAAAGAGAGAAGAGAGAAAGAGCTGCTGGTTTTCGTCTCTGCAGCAGTGCAGCCTGTTCAAGTGAGCGTTCTGGAAGATTGAACCGTTGGATCGTCCTGGAATTTGGACAGTGGGTTCGCAATTGTCTGGGCTTCATGCTAACCGAAGGGATCGTCATTCTGTGGTCTGGTTCGTCGGGAATAGCTGCTGGACAGAAGGTGTACGAATCTGTTTTTGGGTATCTCTCAACCTTTCTTTGTCTTGCTCTTGTTCTTGTTATCCACCATGTTGGTGAGAGCTATTGTGGTTGATTGTTGATCCAAGAAGGGTGTTCTTGAGGTGTTTGTAATCCTCTAGCGAGTCTAGAGAGGACTTGTAATCCCACCAAAGTCTAGTGGAGTTGTGGCTTGGACAAAGGTCCCGTGGTTTTTCCCGATTTGGGTTTTCCACGTAAAAATCGTGTGTCTTGTGCATTCTATTCTTGCTTGTGGTTGCGGCCCGGTTTCTCAACAGTGGTATCAGAGCATTAGGTTGTTTGGGGGCTGTGTTTGGTGAATGGCAAGAATGGATGACTCAAGTGGAGCAATGATTAAGTTGACATCATCCAACTACTCTATTTGGAAGCCACGGATGGAGGATATTCTGTTTTGAAAGGATCTCTATGAGCCAATTGAAAATGGCAGCGAGAAGCCGGAAGACAAGATTGAGAAGCAATGGGAGGTCTTGCATAGAAAGGCGGTGGCAATCATTCGACAATGGATTGACCAAAGCATCTTTCATCATGTTGCAAAAGATACAAGAGCAGATGAATTGTGGCAGAAATTGGAGTCCATGTATGAGAGGCAATCGGCTCAAAATAAAGCCACACTCATTCGAAGAATTGTGAACTTGAAGTATAAGGATGGGCATAGTGTCTCGGAGCATTTGAGTGACTTTCAAGGGCTTGTGAACCAGCTAACTACTATGAAGTTAGCACTTGATGATGAAGTGCAAGCATTGTTACTTCTCAGTTCTTTGCCGGATAGTTGGGAGACTTTGGTGGTCTCACTTAGCAACTCAGCACCTAATGGCAAGTTGACGATGGACATTGTCAAGGATAGCATGTTGAATGAAGAGGCAAGGAGAAAAGAGTTGGGGATTACATCGGAGTCACATGCTTTGGTGGCGGATAATTCTGGAAGTCGTGGAAGAAGTAGAAATCGAAATTTCAACTTCAAGAACTCTCAGAATCGAAGTAACAGCCGAGGGAGATCAAAAGGGAGATCAAAATCATTGTCAAGACCAAGAGGAGAAATCACATGTTATCATTGCAACCAGCCCGGACACATGAAGAGAGAGTGCAGAATCTTGAAACGGGAACAAGCTAGAGGAAAAGGTGTGGAAAACCGAGAAAAAGATGATACTACTGCTGCTGTCACAGATGGTGATGTAGTCATTGTTTGTGATGCCGGTTTTGTTAATCTTGCTTGTCAAGAGAGTACATGGGTTGTTGACTCAGGTGCCTCATTTCATGTGACCTCACGGGTTGATCTTTTCTCTTTCTACACAAACGGTAACTATGGTTGTGTGAGGATGGGAAATGATGGCGCATCAACGATTGTTGGCATGGGTGATATTCATCTAGAGACCAACACGGGTTGCAAGCTAGTCTTGAAGGATGTGAGACATGTTCCTGACATGAGGCTGAATTTGATATCCACGGGAAAGCTTGATAATGATGGTTATACCAACTATTTTGGAGAAGGAAAATGGAAGCTCTCAAGAGGTTCTCTTGTGGTGGCTAAAGGCAAGAAGGAAAGTACGCTCTACATGACAAATGCAAAGCATAGCAAGGGAGGAATTAATGTTGCTGAGAAAGATTCTTCCATTGAGCTTTGGCATAAGAGACACGGTCATTTGAGCGAGAAGGGCTGCAAATATTGTCCAAGAAACAACTCTTGCCCGGAGCCAAAGGTACTCTTCTTAAAAGTTGTGTTCATTGCTTAGCCGGAAAAACTCATAGAGTTGCATTTCATAGATTTCCACCTTCTAGAAGGAGTAAGGTACTTGATCTAATTCACACCGATGTTTGTTTTATGTGAGATAAAACTCTTGGTGGTGCAAGCTATTATGTTACCTTCATCGATGATCACTCAAGGAAGGTGTGGACATATGCTTTGAAAACGAAGGATCAAGTGCTAGATGTTTTCAAGCAATTTCATGCTGAAGTGGAAAGGGAAACCGGCCTAAAGTTGAAGTGTGTAAGGGCTGATAACGGGGGAGAGTATAGAGGTCCATTCGAAAGCTACTGCAGATTGCACGGAATTAAACTGCAGAAAAGTGTACCCAAGAGTCCACAACAAAACGGTGTCGCCGAGAGGATGAATAGAACAATTTGTGAGAGAATCAAGTGTATGCTCTCACATGCCAAGCTACCTAAATCATTTTGGGGAGAAGCAATGCGGACAGCGGTTGATCTAATCAATCTCTCACCATCGGTCCCATTGGAGGGTGATGTACCTCAACGAGTATGGACAGGAAAGGAAGTCTCATATGAACACTTGCGAGTGTTCGGTTGCAAAGCCTATGTTCATGTTCCAAAAGATGAGAGAGCAAAGCTTGATGACAAAGCAAAGCCATGTATATTCATGGGCTATGGGCGTGAAGAGTTTGGGTACAGATTATGGGATCCAATTGCAAGGAAAATTGTTCGTAGTCGGGATGTGATTTTTCTTGAAGATGAGACAAGTGAAGACGTCGAAAGGGTTGAAAAGAAGAAAAATACAGCAGCTGGTCCGGTTAATTTGGAGCCTATATCCCCATCCCAAATGCATGAAAATGTTGAGGAAGTAGTGCATGATGAGCCCCAAGGTGCACTAGATCAAGAAGTGCAAGGAGAAGAGCAATTGGAGCAAGAAGAACAAGTTGAAGAAGAGCAACCTCTACCCGAACCAAGAAAGTCAACAAGAGATCGCAAAGCTTCCACTTGGTACTCCCCTCATGAGTACCTATTGTTGACTGACGGGGGAGAACCCGAATATTATCAAGAAGCCATGTCTCATGAAGACAAGGAGGAGTGGAACAAAGCAATGCAAGAAGAGATGAATTCTTTGCAATAGAATCACACCTATGATTTGGTGAAGCTACCCAAAGGAAAAGGATCAGTTAAGAACAAGTGGGTCTACAAGTTAAAGACGGAGGAAACTAGTTCAAAGCCTCGGTTTAGGGCGCGACTAGTTGTGAAGGGTTTCAACCAAAAGAAAGGTGTTGACTTTGAAGAAATTTTCTCTCCTGAAGACAAGGAGGAGTGGAACAAAGCAATGCAAGAAGAGATGAATTCTTTGCAAGAGAATCACACCTATGATTTGGTGAAGCTACCCAAAGGAAAAAGATCACTTAAGAACAAGTGGGTACAAGTTAAAGACGGAGGAAACTAGTTCAAAGCCTCGGTTTAGGGCGCGACTAGTTGTGAAGGGTTTCAACCAAAAGAAAGGTGTTGACTTTGAAGAAATTTTCTCTCCTGTGGTGAAGATGTCCTCTATCCGAGTTGTGCTTGGGTTGGCTGCAAGTTTGGACTTGGAAGTTGAACAACTCGATGTGAAGACGGCGTTTCTTCATGGTGGCTTAGAGTAAGAAATCTACATGGATCAACCGGAAGGGTTCGAGGTTAAAGGCAAAGAAGATCTTGTATGCAGATTGAGAAAGAGCTTATATGGGTTGAAGCAAGCACCAAGGCAATGGTACAAGAAATTTGACTCATTCATGGTCAAAAACGGGTATGCCAGAACTGCCTCCGATCATTGTGTGTTTGTGAAATACTTTGCTGAAAATGATTTCATCATTCTCTTGCTTTACGTGGATGACATGTTGATCGTGGGTCGGAATGTTGGAGAGATTGATAGATTGAAAAAGGAGTTGAGTAAATCCTTTGCCATGAAGGACTTAGGACCGGCGAAACAAATTCTAGGGATGAGAATCTCTAGAGATCGAAGGAATGGAAAAATTTGGTTGTCTCAAGAAAGGTATATTGAAAGAGTTCTTGAGCGGTTTAACATGAGCAAGGCTAAGGCGGTTAGTACTCCACTTGGAGGACATTTCAAGTTGAGTGTGAAGCATTGTCCTACAAGTGATGAAGAGAAAGAAGCAATGAAGAATGTGCCTTATGCATCAGTTGTTGGAAGCTTGATGTATGCCATGGTTTGCACAAGGCCGGATATTGCTCATGCCGTTGGGACTGTTAGTCGGTTTCTTTCCAATCCGGGGAAAGAACATTGGAGAGCAGTGAAGTGGATTCTTCGCTACTTGAGAGGTACTTCTAGAGTGTGTCTATGCTTTGGTAATGGCAAGACCATACTTGATGGATATACCGATGCTAACATGGCAGGTGATGTGGACTCTAGAAAGTCGACTTCTGGTTACATGATGACTTTTGCAGGTGCTGCAGTTTCATGGAAATCTAAACTGCAAAAATGTGTCGCATTATCAACAACAGAAGCCGAATACATAGCCGTGACAGAAGCTTGCAAAGAGATGTTATGGTTTAAGAAGTTTATTCAAGAGTTGGGCATTAAGCAAGAGAGGTATGTGCTCTATTGTGATAGTCAAAGTGCGATTCATATTTGCAAGAATCCAACTTTCCACTCAAGGTCGAAACACATAGATGTTCGATATCATTGGATTCGTGATGTTTTGGAAGAGAAGTTGTTGGAGCTCAACAAAGTGCATACAGATGACAATGGTTCGGACATGATGACTAAGTCTCTACCAAGTGGAAAACATAACTTCTGTCGAGATGAAGCAGGTTTGGTGCTACCCCCCATATGAGCTGGAGGGGGAGATTTGTTGGGTTGGTCCAACTCATATGGTGGTTGGATTAACCGGTTTGAGTTTGAGTTTTTGGTTGGTTTCTAGAAGATCCTCTATTTTCAAAATAGAGAGTTATTGTCTACTTAAAAAGTAAAAAGTAAAAAGTGGTGACAGCCTTTCATCTTCCTAGAGAGAGAGAGAGAATCAGAAAAGAGAAGAGATAAGGAAAAAGAGAGAAGAGAGAAAGAGCTGCTGGTTTTCGTCTCTGCAGCAGTGCAGCCTGTTCAAGTGAGCGTTCTGGAAGATTGAACCGTTGGATCGTCTTGAAATTTGGACAGTGGGTTCGCAATTGTCTGGGCTTCATGCTAACCGAAGGGATCGTCATTCTGTGGTCTGGTTCGTCGGGAATCGCTGCTGGACAGAAGGTGTATGAATCTGTTTTTGGGTATCTCTCAACCTTTCTTTGTCTTGCTCTTGTTCTTGTTATCCACCATGTTGGTGAGAGCTATTGTGGTTGATTGTTGATCCAAGAAGGGTGTTCTTGAGGTGTTTGTAATCCTCTAGCTAGTCTAGAGAGGACTTGTAATCCCACCAAAGTCTAGTGGAGTTGTGGCTTGGACAAAGGTCCCGTGGTTTTTCCCGATTTGGGTTTTCCACGTAAAAATCGTGTGTCTTGTGCATTCTATTCTTACTTGTGGTTGCTGCCCGGTTTCTCAACATTTTCTTCCTAATCAAATGTTTGTAGCCGAATTTCGAAAGCTTGACAGAAACTTCTATGGATGTAGGTGGGAGAGTGGAATAAAAAACTAGGTTGCTGATGCTGTCAAAATTGAGCTTTACAATTTGTAGTTTGGTCCATTGACAATACTAACTACCCCAATCGAGAACAAGTGCACCCTAGATTGGCAAAGTAGTATGGTGATGACCGAGATTGTATTCCTCGAGAACTCTATGTCTACTACTACTCTCGGTGTTGATTTATGATCTAGCCTCACGAGATGGTTGAAGTTTCGGTATTAACTAAATTAACCAAAAAAGAACAAAAAAATCAAATTACGAGGAAATTGAAAGAGAAAGGTTGTTGCTTAGGTCGAATCCCTCTAGTTATAAGTTCACACGAGTTGCATATAAGTTCATAAAAGCTTCTTTATCTTCTAAGTTACAAGAAATCACTTAAACTAGTGGTGGCAGCAACAATCATGTCACACAACCACACTTCTAGGTATCTATGTTAGCTCAATGATCATGTAACTAACTAAGTACCTAGAGCATTAAGTTTAGATTCTCAAATGGTACTAATCACTATGAAAATGGACCTTTGAATCAATGGTCATGTAATCCAAATCCCATAATACTTGATGTATCTTCTAGTCTTGACCTAATGAGATAGTCAGCTCAATGTAGGTCAAGAACAAAAGAATAACTATTTTTACTGAAGTATGGCATTGGCATGACTAAACATTAAAACACATATATAGGTTCACAATCATTATTACATACAAACCCATAAACAATGTATAATCCAGGGTTCATTTTCCTAAACAACAAGAGATACTAGAAGATAGAGAGAAAAAGTGTACAAATTGGAAGAAGAGCAACAATCCATAACTAGATCATTCTTCTCCTTCTTGCCTTGGCCATCCTTCTTGAATATTGGATTATTTAGGGTCAAGATGATGAAGAAATAACTAAACACATATACAAGCTTGTCACTCACACTATACATCTTTAACCCTATGTTTCTCTCTCTAGGGTGTCTCCCTAAGCTCTAAAACAACTCCAAGTACTTATAGACTTGTGCATATGTCAAAGTTGATGACCTAGGTTTCGGGCGAATTCACTATCGCGAAGTTGGAAATCCTATGGACTTGGGAAATCTTCCAATGGGCACGGCCTAGGATACAGTCCTTTCCTAGTTCATGAGCAGGTTTTTCATTTTCATGACTAGGATCATAAACTCTCGGGCATGACCTATATCTCGTGGTCTGACTTGTTGTGGCCACGAGTGGGACCGTGGAATCTTTTGCTCATGCACATCTGGGGACTGGGAAATTCACAGCCTAAGTTAGTGAAAATCAGGGTTCTGAATTGCATGCTAAAGACCGTGAATATAATATGACCCTTGGTCATCTTTTCATCTTCTTTTCATCCGTCAAACAACTTCTGAATGACACAAAACTTTTCCTTATCATTCTATAACCTAAGATTAGGAAAGAAGACACGACCTAGCCTTGAATATGATGAGGATAAACAAGTTACGAGCCATCGTGATTCGGCTGTCCAACCATCTGTTTGAGGAAGAAGGTAAGTCAACCCCCAATTTCCTTAACCAAGAGGGCTACTGAGAGTGTGGTCTCCGACCATAGTTGCACCTCCTAGCGGTTCATGATTGCCTCGCCCATAATGATCCATTCGAGTCCACGAGCTATGGTAGTAGTTAGGGGGAAGAGACACCTGAGTGATCCTTCTCATATAGAGCTTTCAAACCATTTACCTTTGCTTTGTTTTATTTTAAACCTCATAGTTTTCAACCAAAAACCAATCTGTTAGATAATGTTTCAAACAATGGAAGTAGGGGTACATGGGCTGGCCCGGGTTGATATTTAAACATACTTGCCCTATATTGCACCCATCTAAGGTTTATACTTGGGCCTTAGGTGGGATTTTGTTGTGATATTTGGGGTGAGTCAAGTTTTTGGCACCGTTATCGGGAAGCTTCGGTTTGTTATCTTGAAAAAATTGTCTGGTGTCAATCTAGATTTTATTTTTTAGCTTTGACTGTCTAAGTTTTTTGCTTGTGCTAGACATGGTGTTGTTCTCTAAGTGTGTGCAGGGCGGTGCATGACCCAAAGCAATCCGGTGCCTTAAGTACCACTTGACGAGAACATCAACAGGACTCTCCGACCCCTAGCTCGGGAGAGGGAGTTAGCACAAGCAAGGAAGAGAAGTGAAGAAAGGGGACAACAATTGTATCCCGGAGTTAGTGGAGGAGAAGTTGAATGAGAAGTTGATATTGGAGTTGAGATGGCGGAGAACCAACAAAGAGAGGGAGCCGCCCAAGTTCACAACCACAATGATGAGGCGGAAGAGGAGTAAGCCCCAAGGACAATGGGGTATTACATGGCCCCACGCCCGGCGGACATTCAATCGCCTATCTTACACCCACCCATGGCATCCAACATCTTCGAAATCAAGCCGGCCCTTGTAACAATGATTCACAACAATGCTTTGTTCCATGGGAACACAAGCGAACCGCCGAGGGAGCATGTGCAAAGATTTCTTGAGCTCGCAGGAAGTTTGAAGATAAATGCATGCCGGCGGAAGCTTTGCAATTAAGGCTTTTCCCCTACTCACTTTCGGGGAAGGCACTTTGATGGCTCAACAACCGGCCGCCTCGTTCAATTACCTCGTGGGATGATCTTCTTAACAAATTCATGACCCGCTATTGACCTCCTTCGAAGATGGCCGTGTGGATAAAGAAGATCACCCATTTCGAGCAAGACAAAGATGAGACTATTTTCCCAGCGAGAAAATCAAGATGAACGAGAATTGAATTTGCACCTTTGACTTCCAAACAAACGATTAATTAAACACTGTCCACACCTCTTTGAACAACGTTCAAACAATGGTGTTCGACGTTCTTGATGATCTACGAGACAAACTAAATTACATGAAATCTACACCTATGGAGGTTCAACGAGAGCTCCAAAACTACAACTATGGCTAAATTTGCAGAGGAAAAGTTAAAAGGATAAAATTTTACATTGTGTTTGTCTTGTGTGATTTTGGCTAACCCTTTCTCTGTCATTTTCACCTCCTATTTATAGCCACCAGAAGTAACTGCCTCAAGAAACTACTCGCTGACTTGGAGTGACGATTACCCTCTCAACTGCTATGACGGTTACCCTGACGTTGGATGTGTTAGCTTCTTCAGTCTTGACCCCCTCCTCTTGAGACCTCACTCCCTACTCTTGGTATCTCCTCCATAGCTTCCCTTGTCTATAGAGAAAAATGGCTAAGGCATGAAGGCATACCATGTTCCACATATGGGTGGGTACTCGAATCACGTGAAACAAACATGGCAAAAATACTTCACCATTTACGAGAGGCCCATACCCCTAACCACATCATGGGGGTGGAATCTTGTGTGACCCACCTGACCACCTCATGGGGGCACATGTTGATCCCCACCCCTGGTCATACCATTGGGGCATCATCATTCTTCATACTTAGCCATATTTTACTCCATGGTATTGCATCCACTAGTGTGGCATGTTGACCACCCCCACCACGTCATGAGGGTGATGGTATTTTGATACCTCCCTCACCACATCATGAGGGTGTCAATATGATGCCCTCGATACGTCCTGGGTGTATTGATATGATGCTCACCCCCTTACTAGGTCCATCCTGGGGGTGGCTATATGGTGTCCACCCCCCTCGGCATGTCGTGGTGGTGGCGGTATGATGACCACCTCCCTCGCCACGTCATGAGGTGGCTATATGATGGCCACCTCCATTACCACGTTCTGGGGTGGCTATATGGTGTCCACCCCTCTCGGCACGTCATGGGGGTGGCTATATGGTGGCCACCCCCTCGGTATATCGTGGGTGGCTCCAACACTTAGCCAAATTTTGGGATGGCTGGGATAGAATGGCGTGCATGGTGGCATTGGGTAATGGGCCAAAAACCCAACCCGCGTGGCCCACTCAACTGATTTAAACTATTATAAACAAGTTGGCCTTATATAGACATTTAATTCTTTGTTTTTAACCATGTCGTACAGACTTAATTTTATGAGTAAACAAATGTCCCCCAACTACTAAGTAGTTAACCTAGGTAAATCTCCACACCAAAGATTTTCTTAACTAAATCGAATCTCATCGTTGGCTTAGCAAATTATTTACCCCTTTTATAATCCCGACGCAACCAAGGAAGGTATAAGCTAGCAATATAGCCAATTAGTTTTTTATTATTAACATGACTTTAGTAGCTGACACCAATTCGGCCACTGAGG